TTTTTCAGTTTTATGACATAAGGAAATTATTTAAAATTTAAATAAATCATTAATCATAATAAAAAAAAATTAAAATATTTCAATATTTGTATATTCATGATATGAATTAATATTAAATATGCATACAATGTTTTACCTTTTATTTAACCCTCGTTTCAATGCAAGAATAAGAGGTTTGCAGAAGACAATATTATTGTTTAATCCGTTTAAAGATTTGTGAACAGCATTAATTGTTGGGAGACGAAATCGCAAGCATACAGACTTATCTCCTTGTAAAACGTCTAATGCTTTAGATAAAGGTTTCATAACCTAAAATAGTAAAATTTGTAAGTTATAAAGTTAACTAGTCTATAGAAATGTATACCTATATTTTATATATACAAATAATAACTACTTTGCAATACTCTTTTAAAAAACCAACTTCCCGAGGTCTTGAAAAGGAAACCAATTCTAATGTTATACAAATATCATCAATTTTATCAATATTTTCTACTAAACAATTGATTGCATCATAATAAGAATTCCATCTAGATGTATAAGTAATCAAAATAAATAAGTTGTTTCAATAATTTTAAAAAATATTTAGGTATAATAATTATTAAATATCATTTACCTTGTGGCATTAGGTGTTATAAGATAACGACCAAGTATTTCTTTAATTTTGTCTGCACTTAATGTTGATTGGTTTTGTTTATTAAATATTGATTGACATTTGCTAAAAACCCGTCTACTAATCGTCTTGTATGCGGCATCCTTCTCAGCTTCTAGAATATCTCCTGTTGCTATTAAGTTTAATGTGTGGGCTGCACAGCGCTGATGTGGAGGTAATGAGAAATTAAATGTTTTCTCTATATTTACATTATTTAGTACATCAGAAATTTCGATTGATCTTGGGGTTTCTAGTTCATCAGATTCACAATCTTCCTGTATACTATCACTATCACCATTATCATTATTGAACACTCTAAAAAGGATAATATTTATTAAAATATACCATAATATAGTAATTATTAGTAGTTATTTATTACTTCTCGTTGGTTTTTTTATATTTTAATTATAAGCTTTTAAAAATGGTCATTACTCGCTTAGGTCAATTTACTGTAATATGATATATGAAAACATTGAAAACTAACTACATTACACAGTTTATGCTGAACACACATTTGCCATGTTTTACATTAGTAAGGCAGAGACAACACATGCGGATGTAGCGTCCTATTCACTATTAAGTTCTAACAAATACTATATAATT